CCTCCTGTCAAATGTACAACCTGGGAAATGTGACAGCGGGTCACTAAGAGGTAGCGTTTATACACCGAATGTTGACTTCGAGGCAAGGATCCCTGGTTGTGTAACTTGTTACAAGTCAGACTTGAAACTCAAAGGCCGGAGGTTCAAATCCACCATGGGAGAAAGGTGGATGGACTATCTCCCTACTACAGAGTTCTGGTCTAGCAAACCAGTGGAGCTGAAAACAACTTCATGTCAGTGGGTTCACTAGAAGGGAATGGGAGGGGAGAGCAACTTCTGGGCCTCCCCACGGGGGCTCACACAGGCCCTGGCCTTCTGCACCCTCTCCCCTCCTCTCTCCTAAGTTCCTGGTACGGACTTTTTTTTTTAAGTCTTGCCTTCTGTGGCGGCATGGAGGGCATAGTTACTGGTGCAGTTCACGGATGTCAGCTTCAGGCAAAGGATGCTCTGGTGGCCTAGTGGTAAAAAGCTGCACTGCAAACTCAAGGCACACGGTTTGAATCCACCAGCTGCTCAGCAGGAGACAGATGGGCAGTCTCCTCCCACGTGATTTACTCCCTCTGAAAACCGCTGGAGGGTCAGCTCGATGGCACAGCTTCTGGGGGACAGAAGGTGTGGAACAGAAGGGGAATGCCTGGACAAGGTGTGGGAGGGGATTACCAAGACTGCCCTCTCCCCAAAAAAAGAACTCTTCTGGTCAGATTCTCCCACCACCAACCATGGGGCCTCCCTGAGTCCCTGAGGCCAGGAGCTTAGCAATCTAAACTTGCTTCTAACGTCTAATCGGGGTGCCAAGGTTTAAAGGATATCTCCAGGAGACAGCAGTAAATTCAAGCAGGTTTGAGGAAGCGCCCTGCTTGGGGGTGACTTTTATTCAAGGAAGTCTGCACAAAAAAAAAACATCTGGAGCCCATCAACAAATGAATGGGTAGAGAAGCTCTGGTATTTTCACACAATGGAACACTAGGCTGCATTGGAAAACGAGGAACTCATGCAATATTATTCAAAATGGGTGACCCTGGAGGACATTATGCTGAGTGAAATATCTCAGTCACAAAAGGACAAATACTGCATAGTGCCACTGTTGTAAATGAGGACTGACATCGGGGTTGGGGGGAGACTGAGAAGGATGAATTAAATAATGTATACTGCATAGAAACAGATGAGGGAGCAAACTGTTTAAAAGGGATATGTGATTAGGTATTTTTGTCATGACAGGAGTCCAGAGCGAAGGCTGCATAGTGGAGTGGACCTGGGGGAGGGATTGTAAAACAATGAAAGAATTTTTCTTTTACTTTTCCAAGAGGGGAGTATACTAGGGGGGAGGGTTGGGAGGGGAGAAAAGTGCAACAATGAATGAAATGGAAACCCAAAGGCTCTGTAAATTTTCATTGAAATTAATAATACATTTTTTTAATTAAAAAAAAGAAAACATCTGGAGCAAATAGAGAGACCTAACAAAGTAGCAGGGTCCCAGGTCCACAAACAAAAATCACTTGAGTTTCTATAGAAGAAGAAGAAATCTGAAAGGGAAGTGAGGGGAGGAATTCCGTTGACAACAGCATCTAAGAGAGTAAAATGTCTGGGAATAAATTTAACGGCGGACATGAGAGACGTCTGCCAGTTAAAACAATTCAGTGCTGCTGCGAGAGATTAAAGATTTCATTCAAAGGAAAACTGCTCCACACTCACAGATTGGAAGCCGGAGTATTGTTAAGATGTCAATACCACCCAAAGTGAGCGAGGGGAGAATCGACACAATCCGGACGAAAACTTCAACCGCTTTCCTGACATAAGTAAAAAAACCAATCCTCAACTGTACATGGAATTGCAAGAGGCCTTGAAAAGCTAACACAATGTTCAAAGAGAAGAATAAAATAAAAGGGCTCACGCTTCCTGACTTTCAAACAGACTTTACAGCTACTGTAATCAAAACAGCCTAGTGCTGCTCTAACAATAGAGACATAGACAAATGGAACGGAAAGGAGAGTATAGAAACAAAACCCTCTATCTGTGGTTAGTTGATAGTTGCTAAGTCTATTATAAGGCGCTCTAGTGGGGCAGCCTGAAGCGAATTGCACTGTATCCAAAGGCTGTTCCCCTGTGGTGGTTCGAATCCACCAATGGCTCCAAGAGATGGGGGGCTGGGCCACCCCCTCCCATCAGCCTTTACAGGCTCAGGGAAACTCAGTGAAAGGTCAATGTCAGTTGTAAGCAATTAGATAGCAGTGACCGGAGCTGAGTTGGACGCCATCACATGGAAGGAAGAGTCTCCTCAGCAAACGATGCTGGGAGCATTGGATCCCACAGGCAGAGAGATGAAACGGGGTACGTGCCTCACGTCACACACAGAAACAAACTCACAATGAACCAAGGGTCTAAATGAGCAAACGAAAACCAGCACATGCATGAAGTATAATCAGCGTAACACTGGCCAGGCCGAGCTTTCAACAATGGATTGTCTAATAAAATTACGAAAGTATGAACATCAAAAGGCAAAATTAAAAAGTGGCATCTTATAAAGAATAAAAAATATTGAGATTTCCGAAAGAGTTAAAAACAAACAAAGCACACAGCACAAATGTGTTACCAACTAGCAGGATATCCTTGGAAATCTTATATTCAATAAGAATCCTATAACCGAATTGGATATAAAATCTTGACAGCGTACCAAGAAAAAGGACATCCCTGGCATATGGCCTTCCCAATTTCGAACCATGCAGTGTTTCCTTGCTCTGTTCTGATGACTGCCTCTTGGTCCAAGTAAAGGTTTCTCATTAGCACGATCAAGTGTTCTGGGATTCCCATTCGTCTCAGTCAGCCACAGTTTGTTATGATCCACACAGTCAAACGCCTTTGCATAATCAATGAAACACAGATATACATTCCTCTGGTATTTCCTGCTCTCAGCTAAGATACATATAATATTAGCTACAATATCCATAGTACCACAACCCTTTCTAAACCCAGCCTGGACTTCTGGCAGTTCTCTGCTGATGTGCTGTTCTAGTCATTTTTGGATAATCTTCAGTAGAATCTTGCTTGCATGTGAAAT